TATGAATATTTGAAGTAGTGAACCAGCTGATAGGAGATCTCTCTGTCTCTACTGTCTGTGTCCTTCAAATAAAGTGAAAAACACTTTGAAAAAAATGTAAAACTCTTTCTTTGAAAAGCAAATAAAATTAGGGGCCAGCGCTGTGGTTCACTTGGTTAATCCCCCACCTGTGGCACTGGTATCCCATATGGGCACCGGGGTTTAGTCCCGGCTGCCCCTCTTCCAGTCCAGCTCTCTGCTGTGGCCCAGGAAGGCAGTGGAGGATGGCACAAGTGTTTGGGCCCCTGCACCCACATGGGAGACCAGGAAGAAGCACCTGGCTCCTGGCTTCAGATAGGTGCAGTGCCAGCCGTTGCAGCCATTTGGGGAGTGAACCAACGGAAGGAAGACCTTTCTCTCTGTCTCTCTCTCTCTCTCACTGTCTATAACTCTATCTGTCAAATAAAAAAAAAGAAAAGCAAATAAAATTAAAAACACTTTATTTGAAAAACAATGGAAATTCAAACAAAATAAAAATTCTGGATGGTATAATAAAATCTAAGGTATTAAAAAAAAAAAACAGCAAAACCCTCAAGACCAGAAACCATAAATGATGGGAAAAAGTTACGTGTGGAGTTTATAGTGATGTTTTCAGCTAACTTGAATGAAAAGGCAATAACAACTGCTAAAAAGTTGATCTGAAAATTTGAGTGCAGTGAGAATCATAGGTAATAAATTAAGAATGTAGCATCAGACAAGTAATAAAATGAATATGTCTAAAAATATTTTAAATAAGATTAAAAACATAAGCAAACTACATGTCGGAGAAGAAATAAATGTAGATTTTTTTTGACAGGCAGATTTAGACAGAGAGAGACAGAGAGAGATAAAAGTCTTCTTTCCATTGGTTCACCCCCCAAGTGGCCACCACAGCCGCCGTGCTGTGCCAATCCAAAGCCAGGAGCCAGGTGCTTCCTCCTGGTCTCCCATGCAGGTGCAGGGCCAAAGCACTTGGGCCATCATCCACTGCCTTCTCAGGCCACAGCAAAGAGCTGGACTGGAAGAGGAGTAACTGGGACAGAACCGGTGCCCCAACCCAGACTAGAACCCAGGGTACTGGCGCTACAGGTGGAGGATTAGACTAGTGAGCCATGGCAATGGCCATAAATGTAGATTTAAGGTTGATTTTAGGTCTTTGCTTGCATATACACCTATTTGTGAATGTGAATCATATACAGGACTCATATGAGACTACTGTAACCACACCATATGCTGCCCCCTCAGTATTTTCTTTATTCTCAATATTTTTCAAATTCTCAATATAGCTAGCCAAATTTCTGATATCATTGATTTATATTCTTAGTATTTATGGTGTTTGACAACAAATTTTTTAGATAATTTTTGAAACCAGAGTAGAAGGTTTAGAATAGTGTGAGAGTGGAGACATGCTTAAAGTAGTCTTTTTCATTTGAGTTTTACCTAATTTGATTTTCAAAAATAGTTTAGGTAAGTAATTCTCTTCAAGTGTTTTTAATGGGTATTAGAAATCCTGATTCATGGCTGGTGCCGTGGCTCACTATGCTAATCCTCTGCCTGTGGTGCCGGCACCCTGGGTCCCAGCTGGGACACTGAATTCTTTCCCGGTTGCTCCTCTCCCAGTCCAGCTCTCTGCTGTGGCCCAGGAGTGTAGTGGAGGATGGTCCAGGGCCTTGGGCTCTGAACCTGCATGGGAGACCAGGAGGAAGCACCTGGCTCCTGGCTTTGGGTCAGTGCAGTGCACCAGCCGTGGCGGCCATTTGGGGGGTGAACCAATGGAAAGAAGACCTTTATCTCTGTCTCTCTCTCACTGTCCACTCTGCCCATTAAAAAAAATCCTGATTCATATCAGTCACTAGTTAAGTATCTTCATTGTCCCAGCTTGGAGAAATGAATGTGTAGATTACACTCACATAAAAGGTTGGCTAATAGCTTTTATAATGCCCTTCGAAGAGCTTACTGACACTATTTTGCCCTCATTTGGAAAATGAAATCTATGAAAATGAAGGATAATTATGTATGTGCAGATTATCCATGAGAACAGCTAAAAAGTTTATTATGTGAAATCTCAATAATCAGAGTTTTGCTCATTTGGACTGTTATGCTTTGGCTTTCTTTCCCTGTTATTGTGTTAAATCAGTGTGCATATGTAGATTCCTGTCTTCCCTGGTCAAATGAGGGTTGGTTTAGATTAGTACTTTTCTACATCTGTTTTCAGGTTTCTAAGCATACATTAAGGTAGTTTTGGGGATCTATGTTCTTGGGTCAGAATGTGAAAGAACTTAATTTGTGCAGGGCACGTAACTAAAATTTTAACATCATTGACATTACTAGTATTGCTAAGTATTGTCTTTGAGTCTTACTGTTCCTCATTTTATTCTTGTTGGCTTTGGCTGCTTTGAAAATTTACAGGATGAAACAGAAACTACAGACTGTTGCAACTGAAGGTTTAAGTACTGTTTATTTTACCATAAATTGTATGTGTGTCAGCAGTGCTGGTATTTCTGTCGCTTTGTGTTTAAATACAACCAAATTTCAAATAAAAGAGACAGCTGGCAGTGGATGCTTATCAGCATAGACAGGAATCCAAATAGTGAAGTTTGGCACCCTGAGTTTATTGGTAATCAGTGCCAAATATTTATGAGAGAAAGCAAGATCAGCATCTTTAAGTTCCAATCCATGAAGTTTCTGATTTAAAAGTCCAAAGTTTTGGGGCTGGTGCTGAAGCAAAGCAGGTAAACCTACCACCGTAGTGTTGGAATTTCATGTGTGCTGGTTTGAGTCTTCGGTGCTCTTCTTCCCATCCAGCTCCCTGCAAATGTGCCTGGGAAAGCAGTGGAGGACGGCCCAACTAATTGGGCCCCTGCACCCATATGGGAGACCTGGAAGAAACTTCTAGCTCCTGGCTTCAGATCAGCCCAGCTCTGCACTGTGGCCATATAGGGAGTGAACTAGTGGATGAAAAAATCTCTCTGTGTGTTTGCAACTCTGCCTTTCAAATAAATAAGTAAAGCTTTGAAAATAAAAAAGTCCAAAATTTAACAACTGCAGATGTGATGTTTTATTTCTTTTTAGTCATAATGTACAACCTTAGAAGAAGTAGGTTAAGACTCACACTGAATACTGGGTAGTACAAAAACAACATGGGATTCATAGGAGATTGCTTAGCATATATACACAAGGGAATATTGAGATTGTAGAAAAATGGAATTAAAAGATATGTATTTTGTGCAAAAATATGTATATACCTGCATAGTTTTTTTCATAGTACACATTTTCTATTAACTTTTAAGACTCATATCATCACAGATCTCATAATGAAAATACAGCATTACTTTTTCCTATATGAGAACATTCTATGAGCATCACGGTTATATGATTTCATGAATATTTATTTTTGTTCAACAGTGCATTTCTATCCAGTTTATTTATTTATTTATTTTTGACAGGCAGAGTGTACAGTGAGAGAGACAGAGAGAAAGCTCTTCTTTTTCCATTGGTTCATCCCTCAAATGGCCGCTGCAGCCAGCACGCTGATCCAAAGCCAGGAGCCAAGTGTCCCTCCTGGTCTCCCATGCGGGTGCAGGGCCCAAGCACTTGGGCCATCCTCCACTGCACTCCCGAGCTACAGCAGAGAGCTGGACAGAAAGAGGAGTGACTGGGACAGAATCTGGTGCCCCGACCAGGACTAGAACCCAGGGTGCCAGCGCCACAGTGGAGGATTAACCTATTGAGCCACGGCGCCGGCCTCTACCCAGTTTAATGAAGAATGATTACTTCCCTTTTTCAACATGTCAGACATGTCCAAGGAACAAAGCAGGACTAATGACTGATCTGTATTTTAGCCCATTTCTGTCATTTAATCTTGCACATTTGCTTTAAAATTTCATTGACTTACCAGAACAAAGGCCAGTTGTCCAAAATCCCCCCTCATTGTCATGTTTGTTTTGGATTCTCTTAAGTTGTCCTTGAACATTTTATTCTATACTCTGAAAATCCTTCAGAAACACAATTTTAAAGTGAAATCTAAGTTCAAATTAAACATGGCATACTCCAAACTTCTAAGGAAACAAACAAAAATTCCCAGACCTATGCAAAGTGTAAATAAGCAGAAGATATTTTTAAATTTCTTTTGTAAAACTAACATTAACATCAATGATGAGGCAAGTGGACCAGGATTTAAAAGCAGCCCTTTCATAAACAGAGATACAAATAGGCTAAGCAAAGTATTATGAAATATAAATGAAATCATGTATGAAAATATAATAGATAAACTACAAGCAAGAGATAATTAAAAATATAAGATTTGTTAATGTTACCAGGTCATCTAAACAGGTGAAAAATACAAAAAGGAAATCACGTGATCAGTTAGATTACATGTTGAAAAGCATTTAATAGAATTCTGCATCTAGTGAAAAAATACGTGCTATCAGTAAAAATAAACAAACAAAAAGTGACTTCCTCAATCTGGTCAAGAACAAAGGGAACCTACAACGAACAACACAGCTAATACAGGACCACTGACAGCTTTCTTCCCTGGAAGTAAGCCTGGATCAGGAGGCTGCCACTATTTATCTTCAACTTCCTACTGGAGGGTCGTCAGGGAAATAAAATGGCAAAAAGTAAATCAAAGGTGTAAAGATAATTTCTAAGGAATAAAACTGTCATATAGTATGACACTTACATAGAGATAATTCATAAAAATCTAAAAAATACAAATAATATACAAATTTAATGAGATTACTAGAAAGATTTCCACTACTTACTAAGTACCAGCAAGAGATAAAAAAAATATTAAAGGGCAAGAAGCAGAGTAGAAAACAAATATCTACAAGAGTTAAAAAGATTAAATTATGTTAAAATTGTAAACATTCACAAGATAAATATTAAAACCACCACAAATGACACACAGAGAAATGAGTTACAAATATGAAGAAAAGGAAAAGGCCCAGAAGCCAATAAACAGCCAATACTCTCTGCCTCACCCTAAGCAGGTTACTGCAGCCTCAGGTGGGATTCTCCCAGGAAGACCCGTGGGGAGGCAGGAGGGGCCCAGCAGGTGGCAGGATCCCGCTGGTGAAAGGGTGCAGCCCTGAAGGAGGCCCTTGGCCCCTGAACCCAGGCCTCGCCTCTCTACCATCTGGAGCGGCCTGGAGTTCCCGTCCCTGCTGTAAAGATGCTGATTTGTTGCGTCTTCTGTGTCGTCCATGCTGACGGCTATGCGAGCTGTCCGATCAGACCCGGTGGTGTAAAAAACGTAATCTTGCAGGATTTTGATGTCATAATAGTGCAGTTCCGCCGCCGAGAGAGGTCCGAGGAGCGCGTTCTGAAGAAGAGGGCTCAGATCCGCGATGCTGCGGTGGGGCGAGAGCAGCGCGGCGCCGGCGGCGGCACCAGGAACGGGCAGTGCAGCTCCTCCAGCTTCCCGCTGACCATGCGGAATCGCCCGTGGTTCTCGGGAAGACGGACGCCAGGAACTTCCACTCGGCCTTCAGCCCAGACACGGCCATCTTCCCTCATCTCCGGCGGGAGGGGAGCAGGGCCCAGCCCCGTCAAGGTCAGGGCCGCGACCTCCCCGCGGGGCGCCCAGGCCCTGCTCCCGGGCTCCGCCTCTCCCCGCGGCCCCGGCCCTCTGCCTGAGCGCGGCAGGAAAATGACTTACTAGTTTTAAATGAACATAAATTTCTGCAGGTCTAACAAGCGCCAGTGTGATGCTGGATCTGCGATTTCATGGAGCCATTCTTTGTGTAGCTGTGAGTCTAGGGCACAGTGTGTCGTTTTTAAATTGTAATTTAAAAACAAGCTCCTAATTGTGTTCTCTCCTTTTATTCACTCTTTGGTTAACTGAATTTCCAGAGAGTATTTCTCAATTTTCATTTAATATAGGTTTCGTTTGTATGATTTGGGGGGAGTTAAGGTTTCTGTTTTCATTTATTACTTAATTTTTGTGAATCTTGCTTTAAATGCAAAATTCTATTTTATGTAGCAAGTGTGATTTCTTTAAAGCCTGGCCACTAATTTTGCAAATAGAAATGCAGAGAAACTACTTGTATGTAAATTTCAAGCCAGGGGCCAATGCTGTGGTTCAGCCCCTTAATGCCTTGGCCTTCAGCAGTGGCATCCCATGTGTTCCCTTTATATCTAAAACAGATTTAACTGCTTTCTGTATTTTATCTGGCAAGAAAACTTTCAGTTGTAGTGTAGATTAAATGTAGTGAGTTATAAAAATATGATGTTCTCATTTTAATCTAATTCATCTAAACCTACAAATATGGATTTTTAAAATTGGGTTTATGTTCTCCAAATCTTTATTATTTTGTTTTGTTTAATATAGCCAACATACCTGGGTAATTGAAATCTTTTATAACTTATGTGTGAGTTTCCAATTGCAATACATTTTGCCTCATTGATTTCTCGTTTGCTGTGTTTTTGTACAATATTTCCTTACTTTTTGCCAAAATATCATAGTTCTTTGTTAAAGGCTTTAAACTTCAGTTACATTCTGTCTAATATTTGGCCCAAGATGCCTTTTTTCCCTTCTGTTTGAGAATAATAATTTTTTTTGTCTAATGAGCCATGATAAAATACTCTGAGATATTCGAACCCATGGTCTCCAATGTTTATCACATCCTTATTTATTTATTTATTTATTTATTGACAGGCAGAGTGGACAGTGAGAGAGAGAGAGACTGTGGCCAGCACGCTGCCACCAGTGCACCACGCTGATCCAAAGCCAGGAGCCAGGTGCTTCTCCTGGTTTCCCATGCGGGTGCAGGGCCCAAGCACTTGGGCCATCCTCCACTGCACTCCCTGGCCACAGCAGAGAGCTGGACTGGAAGAGAGGCAACTGGGACAGAATCCGGCACCACGACATGGACTAGAACCCAGGGTGCTGGCGCCGCAGGTGGAGGATTAGCCTATTGAGTTGCGGCGCCGGCCCACATCCTCATTTTTAAGTGTACATCAGTTGTGGTTCATTTTAAATTTTATTGCTGTTATTGAAGGGCGGTGGCTCCCACAGCAATACTGCTCTAGCTGGGTCTCTAGGATGCCCAGTTCTCCAGGAGCTTCACTTTGTACTTTGATTTCCACTTGTCTCTCCTCTGGAAGCACTGGCAATGATCTCCAGGGGTGTGCCCTCAGGCTGCAGTGTGCACAGTGAGTCAGACAGCTCTGAGCTTAGTTCCATATTGGTTTTCCAGGCTGATACTGGAGCTGCCCGAGCCTGAGAAAGTTGTGATCCCCAACCTGCTGCCTTAGCTTGGCTCTGCTCCTGCTGCAGCTCCAGGTCCTTCAGCCTCTGCAGCCCCCACCCCGGCCTTGATCCTAAGATACCAGATCCCTGTGTCACACGCTGCATCTTGCTGTCCCCACAGCATGCACTGGCCTTTTCCCTTGGCCCTTGCTGCTCCAGCTGATTTTCTGCAGCAGCCCAGGGCCAGGTCTTGGTTGCTGTAACCTGTGCCCTCTCTTTGGCCAAACAATTCCACCCATCCTGGGCCTCCAGAAGCAGTTCTTGGATCCCTGATGACTGTTGTCTGAAATCAGAAGCCAGCGTCTACACAGCTCAGCATCCTGGTTCACCCCTCAAGTGGCAGCAATGGCCGGAGCTGAGCCAATCAGAATCGAGGAGCCAGGAGCTTCTTCTGGTTCTCCCACATAGATGCAGGGGCCCAAGCACTTGAGCCACCATCTGCTGCTTGCCCAGGCCATAAACAGAGAGCTGTATCGGAAGAGGAGCAGCCAGCCCATGCACTTGCACCCATGCGGGATACTGGTTCTGCAAGTGGATGCTTAGTCTGCTATGCCACAGCACTAGCCCCCGATGTTACCTTTAAAATGTATGTATGTTTGTAGAAAGATTTAATCATGCTAATTACCAAATTATCTTTGGTTATGGTAAAAAACTACTCTTTTAGCAATTTTAGATACACAATGCATTATTAATTGTGGCAAACAAGTGGTTTCATAGATTACTATAACATATCCTCCTGACTAACTGAAAATTTGTACCTTTTGGTCAACATTTTTCCTTTCCCCATCCTGCCCCATACCCTAGCCTCTGGTAACCACCTTTCTACTCTCTGTTTCTGTGAGATTTTTTAATTCCACATATTCATGAGATAATACAGTATTTGTCTTTGTCTATTCAGCTTATTTCACAATATAATGTCCTGTAATTTCACCCATGTTTCTGCAAATTGTGGAATTCTTTTCTTTATTAAAGCTAACTAGTATTTCATTACATATATATATACACATAGATATTTTAATTATTCATCCTTTTATTGATACTTAAGTACTTAAGTAACTTCTTTATGTTGGTTGTTGTTAACAGTGCTGAAATGAGCAGGGGAGTGGGGCTATCCCTTTAATATAATGATTTTATATATATCCAGGAACACAGTTGGTGGATTATTTGACAGTTTTCTGTTCTCATTGCTTTGTTTTCCATGATGACTGATGTCCTACTTTACATTCTCACCAACTGCACAATCCCATTTGTCCATCCCTGCTTTTGGTGTCTGCAGATTTAGAGTCCTATCCAAGAAAGTACTGCTCAGAAGAGTAAAGCTTCCACCATGTGTTTTCTTACAGTAGATTTATAGTTTTGGGTATTGCATTTAAGTGTGTCATCAACTTTTAGTTGATTTTTGTATATGACATGGAAAAGAGACTAATTTCATTCTTCTATATTTGCATTTACAGTTTCCCCAAAACCATTTATCATGAGACTATCTTATCCACATTGTGCTTCCTTGATACGTCTGTCAAAAATAAGTTGACTTAAATCCTTGGATATTTTCTCTGGACTTTCCATCCTATTCCATTGGCCTATGTATCTGTTTCATGCTGGTGTCATACTGTTTAATTAAAATAGCTTTATAATATATTTTCAAGGGAGAAGTGTGATACCTTCAGTTTTGTTCTTTGGGCTCAAGATTACTATGACTATGTAGTATATTTTCTGGTCCCAAGGAAATTTTAGAATTTTTTTTTATTTCTGAATAAAAGATTGTTTTTATTTTTATAGGAATTGAACTGAATGCATAGATTGCTTTGGGTCATATGCCTATTTTAATAATATTACTCCAATTTATTATGAGAGACTTTTTAAATTTATTTGTATCTTCTTTATTTCATCAATGTATTATAATTTTAGTGTATAAAATATTCACCTATGTGGATACATTATTTCCTAAAACATTATTTCTTCATGCTCCTATATATGGGATGATTTTCTTAGTTTCTTTCCCAGATAACATATTATTAGTCTGTAGAAACACTAATGATATTTATATTGATTTTAGAACTTGAGATTTCCTGAATTTATTTATTTTCTAACAGTTTTTTATTGGATTCATTATTATCACTGGCAAATAGAAACAATTTTACTTCTTCCTCTTATACAGATATTTTTGTTCTTGCCTAATAATTCTCTCTAGGATTTTCAGCATTACATGGAAAAGAAATGATAAGCATGGACATATTTGTATTATTTCTGATCTTAGACAAAAGACTTTTTAAACTTTTCATCAGTGACTTTAATGTTAGCTCTGCTTTTATTGTTTATGGTTTTTATTGTGTTGAGGTATGTTCTTTCTGTGACAACTTTTAGAGAGTTCCCATGAACAAATTTGAATTTTCACAAGTTGTTTTTCTGCATCTGCTCATATAGTGACAATTTTATGATTTTTATTCTTTATTATGATAATATTGTATATCACACTTATTTTTAAATTTTAATTTAGAGTATGCAAATTTAATGTATTTCATATATATAGGTTTGGGAACATAGTGATACTTTCCATCCTACCATTCCTCCTGCCCATGGTCCCACTCTTCTTCCTCCTTCCATTCCTATTCCAATTATTTTTACTAAGATCTATTTACAGTTAACATTATAGTCACAGGATTAATCCAACAATTAAAAGTTCAAAAATTAGTATAAAAAAAGTTCCTCAACAGTCAAGATAAGGGCTGTTAAAGATCATCACATATCAAAATGTCATTTTTGTTTTTAATTTGCATAGGAAAGCTGCAGAAGAAGACCCAAGTGCTTGGGCCTTGAACCCAGGCAGGAGACCTGGAAGAAGCACCTGCCTCCTAGCTTCAGCCTGGCCGAATCCCAGCCATTGTGGTCATTTAGGGAGTGAACCAGCAGAGAGAAGACATCTCTCTGTCTCTGTCTCTCTCCCTCTACTTAGCCTTATAAATAAGTAAAATAATTATTTACAAAACCTGATATATGAAATAAAGGAAATCTAGTCCTTTATATAAATGGATAAAATTTATAAAGACTCTAATCCCACTTCAGAGTGCTTGGTTTGATTTGCAGCTGTTTCCAATGCCAGATTTTTGGTAACTCAGATGTTGGGAGGCAGTAGTGATAACTCATGATATTGGGTTTCTGCCACTCATATGTGGGAAGACAGGAGTACATTCCCAGCTCTTGGATTCAGCCTTGACACAGCCCTGGTTACTGTGGGTATTTGGAG